CTTGTGTGTGTGTGTGTGTGTGTGTTTTAGATAACGTGTAAATGTTTAAATCTCTTGTCACAGTGGCTAGTGTATTAGACCTCAATAAATAATGTCGTTTCCTGCTTATTCCGTCTTTTAAAAATAGATCTCTGTCAGACTCTGAGGAGAAACATTAAAATTAATGATCAAATAGGAATTTTCTGAATTATTCAGTTTTCAGTAATCTTTAGAGCGTTTCCATTTCCCAACTTCTGTGTTATGAATGAGAATTTCCCAAATGCCAGATTCTACCTCTACAATATATACTCTCACTCCCCCTTTTAAAACTTTTTATTTTATACTGGAGTACAGTTAACAATGTTGTGTTAGATTCAGATGTACAGCAAACTGATTCAGTTACATATATTCTTTTATAAATTCTTTTACCATTTACGTTGTTACATAATACTGAGCAGAGTTCCCTGTTCTATACAGTACAGGGAACTATATAATTCTGATTGGTTATCCAGTTATATACTCCTACTGAACATGTACAAAATAGGATAGATAATACCTAGAAACTCATTTAAGGAAAACTTTGGATTCCCAGGCTTGGGGAAAATGTGGTCAGAAATGATGAAATGACTGCTTTTGATCTATTCTACATTTTTTGCAGTTTTATTCATTACTGGTTCTAGGCATCTCCCAAGTCTGACCTTCAGCCCCCTACTTTTGTCTTTATTTGTGTTTTTTATAATCAGTGATTTAAAGCATATGCCTTCAATTAAAATGTCCAGGTTTACAATCCTGTCCGCCATGTATTCAGGTATGTTACCATGGGGAAGTTATTTAACCTCTGTAAGCTTCAGTTTCCTCACCTGTAAATGGCGATGGTGATCCTTGTCTCACAAGTGTTACACGTAAATGTTGTAATGTATTGGGACCGCTTAGCTCAAATTTGGATATAAATATAATGCACTTAGTGGCAGTGGCTGTGGTATTAATAATTTTCCTAAGTCATGATTGTTAGGTTTTTTCAGATGATTTTGGTTTCTTTCTGTTCTTTCTTCATGTCCTTAATTTCCAGTTTTTTCCCTAGTTGATGATCATAAAACAAACCTCATCTTTAAATTCTAATATTGATAATTTGCTGCCACCTACAGGCTAATATGAAAAAAAAGACATGTAATTACTAGCTTTCTTAGACTGTGAATATAAAATCTCAAGGTCATTTTTGTTGTCCCAAAGCTAACTGTGGACAATCCCAGAACCCCGTTTTCTGAGACACTTACTTTCCCTGGCAGCTCAACTAAATTCTTGATTAGTATTAATAGAATCATCTTAGATTATTTTTGGAGTTGAACAGTTATTCATAAAGCATTATTAGATATTATTATTATCATCATCAGATATTGCATCTTCCCCCATAAGCAGATTTACAAAATAGTGTTTATTAAAAAGCACAAAAGAGTCTTTGTTATTTAAGGTAAGTTTAGCGCCTGAGTTTTGTTGGGTTTTGTTGCATCCTAGCGAACTTCAGACGTCTGAGCAAAACATTAAAAATAAAATGAAGAATGTTTATACTGAGCTGTGTCATGGTGCTTACTCCCTTGCCTTGTATGATTGCTGCCTGTATGCCTCTCTTCCATTCTCCTGATTAAGCTTCTTTTTCAAATAACCTGGTACGTGGATCCATTTGCAAGCGTACATGGTCCATCCTCCGTGGTTTCTTTTTCTTTTTTTTTTGACTGCACCATGAGTCTTGTGAGAGCCTGGTTCCCTGATCAGAGGTTGAAACCAGGCCCTCGGCAGTGACAGCTCAGAGTCCTAACCACTGGACCACCAGGGAGTTCCCTTCTCTGTGGTTTCTGACTGTACATAGTACAGCATCTTGGCGCAATCTGATTTGCCTCAAGCTTCCAGTGCCAGATAGCAGGGGATGGGTCCAGTAAGGTTTGTGTACTAACTACAGGGTTGAATTTTGGCTTGAAAATAACAGGGAACCACTAAAGGAACCACTTTAAGCCGGAGAGTGACATGATAAGATTTCGATCATGACTTGGGCAATCCGTTTGCAGATATGTTGGAGGGGCCTGCAGAAGCAACTATTCATTGAGCCTTTCCATCCACTGATTGTACCTGTCACGTATCATTTCTGCATGAGAGGACTTAATCATACCCTATTCACCACTCCAGTTTTTGAATTGTTTTTGAATTGTTTTATTTGTATTACTTTGATGCCTTTAACAATTCTGTAAACACCTTTCAGGTAGGCCCTGTTATGCTATGGATTGTTGTCATTTTAATTATCAGCTGCTATTGTGCAGTGCATATACAATAGGCCAGGAGCAAGCGTCTTTGTACTTTTACTCAATGTGTGCACGGACATACAAACACTTCTCCTGGCTTGCCGTGGTGCTCGCTGCTTGTTGAACCGCAAGCTTGTCCTCTCTCCTCCATCTCTGCCCGCCTGCTATGTCTTGTCATCTGCTACCTGGCATCTTGCTTTGGGTGGGTGCCACATTGGCACTATGGTTGAGCTAGCCCTTCCCAGAAGTGGACGTGGGGGCTGGTGGGGCACAGTGTGATTACTGTAATGCTCACTGGCAGAAAGAGGTGAAGAGCAGGAAGAGGAGGAGACCTTTTTCTGGTTCCCTCTGCAAAAGAGCTGTTACCATGGGACTTCCCTGCTGGTCCAGTCGGTAAGACTTCGCCGTCCAATGCAGGAGGTGCAGGTTCAATCCCTGGTCGGGGAGCTGGGATCCCACATGCCTCATGGCTAGAGGACCAAAACATAAAACAGAACCAATATTGTAACAAAATCAATAAAGACTTTAAAAAAATATTAAAAAAAAAAAAAAGCTATTGTCAGAGGAGACTGAAAATCCCAAACCATGGAAATGGATGGCAAAACAGTGACTATGGAAAGGTGAGCGAGGCCTTGTTTCAGGTGTAAAATTTAAGGGGTCATCAAAAAGCTCTTCAGTCCAGATAAGTATTATGTTAATGCATTACTTTAAGAAATTTAAAATCAAAGAAATTCATGATGAACAAGGGCTTCCCCTGTGGCTCAGCAATAAAGAATCTGCCTGCAGTGCAGGAGATGAGGGTTTGATCCGTGGGTTAAAAAGATCTGGAGGAGGGCACGGCAACCCACTACATTATTCTTGCCTGGAGAATCCCAGGGACAGAGGAACCTGGCAGGCCACAGTCCATGGGGTCGCAAAGAGTCAGATGGGACTAAGCACCCATGCATGATGAACAAAATACTAACATTTTAAATAAAGACAAGATCTGAAACAGTGCTGTGATAAACCTAGGAAAAAGGAAAAATCAGCCATACTGAGCCTGTCTGTTTAAGAATTTGATATTTTGTTCATCATGGATTCTTTGAATTAGCTTTGATTTTTAAAAAAATGTTGCATTAAAATATTAAAATTATTTACCTTGAATTAAGTGCCCTCATAAATTCTGCACCTGAGGATCAGGGGCCTCACTGAACTTGCCCTTAGCCTTGTACTTGGTTGGTTGGGCAGAAGAAGGGGGAGTTACCGAGAGACAGGTGCCTCCCTGGCCGCTCTCTGGAAATACAGAATTCTTCCTGGTGGATAGGTAGACACTGGCTGTTATTTCAGGGCAGTGAGTGGGGCAGGATTGGTCTTATGTGGAAAGCTTTTATATGGGTGTTTGTCATTTCTCTGAATATATTGTGTTGGCCAAAAAGTTCATTTGGATTGTTCAGTAAGATGTTACAGAAAAACTCGGTCGAACTTTTTGGCCAACCCTAGATAAATTAGGAGCTTCCCTGGTGGCTCAGTGGTAAAGAATCTGCCTGCCAGTGCAAGAGACTCGGGTTCAAGCCCTGGATTGGGAAGATCCCCTGGAGTAGGAAATGGCAGCCCACTCCAGTATTCTTGCCTGGAAAATGCTGTGGACACAGGAGTTTGGGGGGCTGCAGTCCCTGGGATTGCAAAGAGTCGGATATGATTTGGTGACTTAACACGCATGCATATAAATTAGGGTTTTATTCTAAAGGGTTATCTGGATGAGGCTTTTTTTTTAATTTTATATTTTAAACTTTTTATTTTGTACTGGGATACAACTAATTAACAGTGTTGTGATGGTTTCAGGTGAACAGGGAAGGGACTCAGTCACACACACACACACACACTCTCTCTCTCTCTCTCTCTCTCTCTCTCTCTCTCTCTCTCCTCCAAACTCCCCTCTCATCCAGGCTGCCACATAACATTGAGTAGAGTTCCATGTCCTCTACAGTAGGCCCTTGTTGTTTATCCATTTTAAATAAAGCAGTGTGTACATGTCCATCCCAAACCCCCAAATTATCCTTTTCCCTTTTCCTTCCCTCTGGCCACCATAAGCTTGTTCATGAAATTTGAGTGGATGAATGTGTGCATGCTAAGTCATTTTAGTCATGTCCGACTCTTTGTGATCCTATGGACTGTAGCCTGCCAGACTCCTCTGTCCGTGGAATTCTCTTGCCTGGAGTGGATGAGACATATTTTTAAAAAGTTACAAGAAGGTATCTCCTACTTCCACTAGGGAGAGAAATGGAATACACTTCCTTTAGGCGGTTCTTCAGAGTTGAATCTGATTAGTAGAGGAAGCTAAAGACATTTACAGTCTCCTTCTGTGAATATTAGTCATGCTGATTTACTAGTTAAGCATTTAAAGTCTTGGCAAGATCTCATTCTTGGCCTCTTAACTCTTCTGCCTTGCACTAAGTATATTGTGACTGGAGAAATGAACAGAAGCTGAGAGAATGCTGTATTTTCTAAATTCCTATTTTGAAAGAGTGTAATTTGGTGGTTTTTAGTAGTTAGCTCGTAAGTTGTGTGTGGTTTTTTTTTTTTTTTTGTGCTTTCCTAGGATAGCCAGGCCTTTTGAGGGCAGAAAGACGAGATATGGCTCTTACCTCATTGGCTTTCTTCTGGCTGGGGATGTGAAGGAGTCCAAAGGAGAAGTTTACTTAGCTTTCATATTTACAGACTGTTTTTTGTTTTTTTTTTGTCTTCAACAAGGTCTGCTGAGAACAGACCCAGTACCTGAGGAGGGAGAAGATGTTGCCGCCACGATCGGTGCTGCCGAGACTCTGACAGAGGAGGAGCGAGAGGAGCTGAGAAGAGAGCTTGCAAAGGTAGAGGAGCCATCCTGGGAGCTCCGCTTTGCGCTTAGAATATGTTCTCATCGGTTTTCTCAAGCGCCTGGTGATAGTCTCTAGTCACTTTCAGGGAGAGGAAACAATGTGCGTTTACTCACCCTAGAGAGCTTGAGTGAGGAGGAGGAAATGGGAACATACGAGACCAGTTGATTTTTAATACGAGAAGGGTATCTATGGGTAAAGTGGGTCTGAGAAGTAGAGTGTGAAGTTGGAAATGGATGAGGGCGACTAGTGAATGTCTTCTAAGTGACCTCACTAGCCCTGATGCACTTGGCTTTCAGTTGCTTTGGGTGACTTCTTTCTACCTTTGGCAATGTTGTGGATAGAAGCTCTTTGAATTTTCTTTCCATTCTTCATTCTCTCCCTTCCTCTTTTTTATTTTTTTTTTAAATCAACCATTTCAAAGTGTACAGCTGAGTGGCATTTAGCAAACTCACAATGTTGTGCAACTGTCATTTCTATCCAGACATTTTCATCATGTCCAAAGGAGACCCCATACTCACTAAGCTGGCATGCCCACTCTTCCCTCCCTCATTCCCTTGCAACAACTAATTGCTTTCTGTCTCTATGGAATTACCTATTCTGGATATTTCATTTCAGTGCAGTCACATAGCATGTGATTTTTGGTATCTGACTTGTTTCATTTAGCATAATGTTTTTGAGGTTCATCCTTGTTGAGCTCATATTGGTACTTCACTGATTTTTAAGGGCTGAATAATATTCTCTTGTATGTATCTATTATATTTTGTTCATCTGTCCATTTGTTGAGTGGATATTTGGGTGGTTTCCACCTTTTAACTATTGTAGATACTCAGCTAAGGAATATTTGTGTAAAAGTACATTTGAATACCCATTTCCAATTCCTTTGGGTTATACCCGGAAGTAGAATTGCTCATCACATGGTAATTCCATGTTTAACTTTTATTTTCCAGAATTGCCAAGCTGTTTTCACAGCAGGGTTGCCATTTTACATTCCATTACCAGCTTCTCTACATCCTTGCCACATTTTTTGTTTTCTGTCTTTTTGATTATAGCCACGTTAGTGACTGTAAAATGGTATCTTGTTGTGCTTTTGGTTTGTGTTTCACTGATGAAAAAGATATTGAGCATCTTTTCATGTGCATATTAGTCATTTACATACCTTTTTTTTGAGAAAGTCTATTCAAATCCTTTCCCACATTTTTATTTTATTTAATTAATTAATTAATTTATTTTCATTTATTTTTATTAGTTGGAGTAGAGCATCATTTTTATTTAGAATAGTATTGTCTTCTTCTTCTTTTTTTTTTCCATTTATTTTTATTAGTTGGAGGCTAATTACTTTACATCATTGCAGTGGTTTTTGTCATACATTGAAATGAATTAGCCATGGATTTACATGTATTCCCCATCCTGGTCCCCCCTCCCACCTCCCTCTCCACCCGATCCCTCTGGGTCTTTCCAGTACACCAGGCCCGAGCACTTGTCTCATGCACCCAGCCTGGGCTGGTGATCTGTTTCACCCTAGATAATATACATGTTTCGATGCTGTTCTCTTGAAACATCCCACCCTCGCTTTCTCCCAGAGTCCACAAGTCTGTTCTATACATCTGAGTCTCTTTTTCTGTTTTGCATATAGGGTTATTGTTACCATCTTTCTAAATTCCATATATATGTGCTAGTATACTGTAATGGTCTTTATCTTTCTGGCTTACTTCGCTCTGCATAATGGGCTCCAGTTTCATCCATCTCATTAGAACTGATTCAAATGAATTCTTTTTAATGGCTGAGTAATATACCATGGTGTATATGTACCACAGCTTCCGCATCCATTTGTCTGCTGATGGGCATCTAGGTTGCTTCCATGTCCTGGCTATTATAAACAGTGCTGCAATGAACACTGGGGTGCACGTGTCTTTCCCACATTTTTAAAACATTATTTGTTGTTTTGTTGTTGAGATACAAGAGCTTTTTATATATTTTGGATACTTGATCCTTATCAGATATATTAATTTGAAAATATTTTTTCCCATTCCATACATTGTCTTTTCACTTCCTTCATATTGCCTTAATGCACAAAAGTTTTAAATTCTGATGAAGTCCAATTTATTTTTTCTTTAGTTGTTTATTCTTTTGACATTATATCTAAGGATCCATTTCCAAAACTAGATCATAAAGATTTATATGATATTTTCTTCTAAAGCATATATTTAAGCCTGTGGTCCATTGAGTTAATTTTTACATATGGTTTTATATATGGTTTTTATATATGTTCAATTTTATTCTTTCACATGTGAATATTTAGGTTTTTTAGTACCATTCATTGAAGAGACTATCAGTGAATGCTCTTGGCATCCTTGTCAAAAATCAGTTCATGTATATGTAAAAGTTTATTTCTGGATTCTCAATTCTGATATATTCATCTATATGTCTGTCCTCCTGAGAGTACCACACTCTTGATTACTATAGCTTTGTAGTAAGTTTTAAAATAGAGAAGTATGACCGTTTCACCTTTTTCTTCTTTGTCAAAATTGTTATTTAAAGTCTCATGCAATTCTATATTAATTTTAGAATCTACACTTCCACCCACACAAAAAAAAAATGCCATTGGGATTTAGTTAGGGTTATTACTGAATCTGAGGATTGATTTGAGAGGGTATTGTATTATTACAATACAATTAAGATTATAATCATCTTAACATTATTAAATCTCACAATCCATGAACGTGGAGTGTCTTTCCATTTATTAGGTCTTCTCTAGCTTAGCAATGTTTTGTAGTTTTCAGGGCACAAGTCTTATACTTCCTTAGTTACCTTTATTTTGATAAGTTGTTTTTATTCTTTTGATGTGATTATAAATGGAATTTTCTTAATTTACTTTTCAGATTTTCATTGCTAATGTGTAGAAATATTAATACAACTGAAGTTTGCATATTAATCTTATATCCTGCAACATTGCTGAACTTGCTTATTAGCTCTATTAATTTTTTTGTGAATTATTTAAGAATTTTCTCTCTATAAGATAATGTTATCTGCAATCAAAAGTAGCTTTACTCTTCCTTTCCATTTTAGATGGCTTTAATTTATTTTTCTTCTCCATTGCTCTAGCTGAAACCTCCAGTACTATGTTGAAATGGCAGTGGTGAAAGTGGGCATCCTTGTCTTGTTTCTAATCTTAGGGGAAATACTTTCAGTCTTTCATCATTCAGTGTGATGATAACTCTTGGTTTTTATAAATACACTTATTCAGATTAAGGAAGTTCCCTTCTATTCATAGTTTGCTCAGTATTTTTATCATGAAAGGGTCCTGGATTTTGTCAAATGCTTTTCTGCACCTATTAAGATGATCGTGTATTTTTTCCTTTCATTCTATTAATATGGCATATTACATTAATTGATTTTCATATTTTGAGTCATCCTTACATTCCTAGAATAAATTCCACTTTATCCTAGGTATATGTATTCTAGGCCTTGATGATATCATCCTTTAACTATGTTTCTGGATTTGGTTTGCTGGTATTTTACTAAGTGTTTTTGTACCTATATTCAGGAGAGATTGACTTGCAATTTTCTTTTCTTATATCTTTGTCTGTTTTTTGTATCATGGTAATGGCTGGCCTCTTGGGATGAGTTAGGAAGTTTTCCATTCTCTTTTGTGGAAGAGTCTGAGAAGACTTGGCCTTAATTCTTCTTTAAGTGTTTAGTAGAATTCATCAATGAAGCCTTCTTGTTTTGGACTTTTATTTGTTGGGAAATTTTTGATTATTCAATCAATCTTTTTATATGTTCTAAATCTGTTCAGACTATTTTTTCTTAGTCAGTTTCAATCATTTGTGAATTTCTAGGAATTCATCCGTTTCATTTAAGTTATCTAGTTTATTGGCATTTAGTTGTTCATAATATTCTCTTACAATCTTTTTATTTCTATAAGGTTAGTAGTATTGTCACCACTTTCATTTCTGAGTTTAGTTATTTGCATCTTCTCTTTTTTACCCTCTGTTGGTCTGACTAGAGGTTTGCCAATTGTATTGATCTTTCTAAGGAACAGTTTTTGATTTCACTGATTTTTCACTATTGGTTTTCTGTCCTTTCTTCTGTTTATCTTTAATCTTTAATTTAATTTAATCTTTAATTCCTTTCTTTTTTGTTAACTTTGGCTTTAGTTTGCTCTTCTTTTCCTAGTTCTGTAAGAGTGTACAGTTCGGTTATTGATTTGAAATATTTTTTTTTAATGTAGGCATTTACAGCTACAGATTTCGCTCTGAGCACTATTGTTACTCATCTCATAAGATTTAATATGTTGTGTATTTGTTTTCATTTGTCTCAAAGTATTTTCTAATTTCTTTTTGATTTCTTCTTTGACCCATTGCTGGCATAAGAGTGTGTTGTTTAACTGGATAAATTTATGAATTTCCTAGTTTTCCTTTTGTTTCTGGTTTCTAGATTTATTCCATTGTGGTTGGTCAAAATATTTTATATGATTTAAATTTATTGAGATTTGTTTTGTTGCTTAACAGTATGCTTTGTCCTGGAGAATGTTTCATGTACATTTGAAAAGAAGGTGTATTCTATTGTTTTGGGGTGAAGTGTTCTGTTTATAGTTGATTTATAGTGTTCAGATCTCCTGTTTCCTTATTCGTTCTATCTACCTCTTTACATCAGATTTTATAAACTAGGTGGGGATAGGATGGGTAAGGCAGATTGGTGATAAGCCCTATCAGGAGAGCAAGAATGAAAAATATAGAGTATTTGGTACATGTCTAATACTGTTATTTTGAAAAGAGAAAACAAAAATACTTTTTATACAAGTTGTATATGTTTATCATAAAAACAAAAAGCACTGAAGAAAAGCAAAATTACCTTTACAGCATAAAAGTTTTAGATTATCTGTTTCCAGACTTTTTTCTATGTATGTATTGCTATAATATTTCAGTATTTTAAGAAGACATCAGAATACACAATTACAACTTTTTTCCACTTAATCGAATTTCAAAAAA